GCTGCCCAGGGAAGTGGTGGAGTCCCCATCCCTGGAGGTATTTAAAAGACGAGTAGATGAGGCACTTAGGGACATGGTTTAGTGGGCATGGTGGTGTTGGGTCGACGGTTGGACTCGATGATCTTGGAGGTCTTTTCCAACCTCAATGATTCTATGATTCTATGGTGATAGCAATCACTGTGTTACGAATTGTTATAACATATCTTTTTGATAGGTTTGGAGAAAATGTAAAATGCGTATCTTCACTGTCGCTCAAATGGATGATAATAGCATTCAAATGAAGAAGGATCTTCAGATGTTCTTATATCATCTTAGACTGAATGCTGAAGTGGAAGTTGTTGAAATGGTAAGTTACTGCATTTTTTTTTTAGGTGTAACTGAGACTGAACTTGGGAAAATGGATTTAGCATTTTTGAAACTAAGAGATGTTAGCCCAACTATAAAAAGGGAAAGACTGCAGTCCTACCAAGAACAGGAAGTTTTTTAAAGCAATGTTATCTTACCATGTCACAATGCTAGTGTATGTGGTAGTGAGTTTAATGGTTTTGTCAAGTGGAGTTAGCCATTTTGATGTGTTAATGCCTACTTTATTTATGAGGACTAGTCCGTAGAGGTAGTTCATTCAGGAAGGAAAAAGGTTGAATTCTTAGCAGGCAGTGAAATGGAAGGCTGAATGTACTTAATCTAATAATCCATGGCATCCAGCATGAGAGAGGATGAACATGCCTGTCTCTCCAACTGCTGTATGAATATCTCTCTGGAATACGGAATCCCTAGGCCTCCGTGAGAGTATGTCAGTTGTTTTTGGCATTGCCAGCCTCTTTGGCACTGAACGCCATGACAATATAGCTACAGAGTCACAAGTCAAATAGTGAGAAGATTAATTTTGTAACTTTTTTCCCTTTTTAAATACTGGGCGTAAACTGGTAAAGAGGCAGGACTAAAGCTGTAGTCTGTCTAGACCCGCTTTTTTTGGCAACTAAGGAAAAACTTCATTTCCAGCACGCAGAGGTGACTAGCATAATGTCCAAAGACAGACCAAAAAAAACCAAAAAACAAACCACAAGCCCCAAACCCAACCTTTTAAACTCATTCTGAAGTGGGATGAAGAAGATGGGTCAACTGGTTCAAAACTTCTACCGCCACCAGTTCCTGGAATGAATAAAAACAACCTATCAAAAAGATTTATCATGCTAATTGCCCATAAAGCAAATTTTAAGAATCGTTTAAATTACTTAAGAAAAAAATGACTTATGAAAAATTTGGTTAGTATTTGAACCAGGAAGTAAGATAAATCCTTTTATTTATTTATTTATTTATTTATTGTTTAGAGTACTGAATATAAAAGACTAAAATGGTGTGGCAGGTGGAGGTAAAAGAAGATGAACAGCGTGCCATTAAAAAAAGGCTCAGCCTTGGTTGGATTTTGAGCAGAAGATAGTATAGGAAGCGCAATTTATTCTTTTCTTATGTGGATCATATTTAACCTTGAGAATCTTCCAAAAGATAAGAGACATGTTACGAGTCAGTGACAAGACTGATGGCTGCTATAGATTTTTACGTTGTATTTTAGCTTTGAGCTGATGTGAGAATATATGCTGGAGTTCCTTTGTAAATGCTTCTATTTGTGAACACTTCTCACTGGTGAAAGGACAATGTGTTATTTTGTGGCTCCAGACAGTTTTTAAGGAAACAGGTGTGCACGCATGCTCAGGAGGCAGCAATGCAGACCCAGTTTAAATAAGCGCTTTCAACCCTTTCTCACTTCTGCAGCCTAGTTGGAACAGAACAATGGAAAGTCTGTCCCAAGTACCTCAAATTTAGATAAAAATCACATTGATATTGGCATAGTAGGATAGTTCATTGTACGAGATTGCTGTTTGAAGATGAAGCTTTAAGAATGAGGACAGAAATGATTGATCAGTTATATGCTTGGGATTACTCTAATGCCATAAATATATCCATGACTGAAGGAATGCAGGAATGAATGTGGTGCACTGTCTAAACATTGTTCTTTTGAGTAGTACTTTTCTTCTGATGTTTCTAATGCCAATCTCTTTTGCAGTTTGAAAACGATATTTCTGCGTTCACATATGAGAAGACACTTGTGATGGAACAGCGATCTCAGATGCTAAAACAGATGCAGCTATCAAAGAATGAAAGGGAAAGAGAGGTAGGGACTTCGGCTCGGCAAGATGTTCTGTGAAAAATCTGAAAGTAATATTTCCTTGCCATGGCTTCTAATCAGTTTCTAACTAGTCAAAAGCTTTTAAAACTGCATTCTATGTCAGTTTCTCTACAGCAGGTTTCACTTGCAAGGTTAAAATAATGGGGGGAGAGGGGGAAATCCTTTTTTATTTGAACATATGTTTAGAGTTGTTCTTGTTAAGATTAGTGCAAGTACGTACCAGCAAAACATTTGAGCATCAGTGTGGAATATATCCAGAGCACTTCCAAACTTGACATATATCAGTAGCTAAGGCTCATGATTATTCAACTGGGCTGATTAGCTTTGTTTGTGACTTGGTCTTGTTCTGTTCACACCAACTATTTTTTAGTTTCTGCGTTATTTTGAATGCTTTATGTATCAACTAATTGTTGTTTCTGGAGCCAAAATTAGGCTGACTAACCTATGATCCTATGATATCCAGATGGGAATGCTGCGTTTGATGCTCCCCTACCCTTACTAGTCCCTGGTGGCGTTTTGCACGTTGTAGTGGCAAGCTTCATGCAGCTGTATTTTTGTGAATATTTGTAACTGTTAAATCTTTTTCTGTTTTATTTTGGCTTGTGCTTCTACCCCCTCATTTATGCTGTTAACTACCCTGTTAGTATCAACACTTTTTAGTGATGTAAAAGGTATTAAATGCTTTGGCTTTGCTATCACTTATAGTGATTTCCCTCCCATGCCAAGTAAGAGATCTCTACTGTTCACTGCTCACTTGTAAAATAACTAGTATTTGTTCCTTGTGGATTTTTTTGTCTGCTGATAACTGTAACTCATTTTATGCCTAAGCCTTTTTGGTGTTAATCCTACAAGTCCGTGCAGTCCCTTTTTTTGTTTGTTTTCTTAATCTCTCCTTAATATTCTTTTTTCCGTTTCACAGGACTTACTTAAGGTTCCTAAAGATGCCTTGTATTGCTACAACAATGTGCTGCTGTAAATCCTCTTTCTTCTCATCTGCATCATGGTAGTTTTCTTTTGATCTGAGACTGCCTAACACCTTTTCAGTAAAAAACAAGCTCTCCTGTACTCCCTACTCAGTGTTTTTAAATTTTTCTCCTTTCTTTATTGAACACTAGTATTTTTCCAGTGGAGTTTGAGTGATTAATCAATCCACAGTAGGCTTTTAAGGATTTAACTTCCTCATGAGTGCTTTATAAGTAGTCCAAGTATGTAAGGCTCTGTAGTCTATAGCATGTAAATTGTAGTGGAGACAAAAGAATGTCTTCTCAGCTCTATGTGAGTTGGTTGGAATCTGCGCTACTTCAGAGTGTTGTTTGCTTGGCCGTTTTCACTTCTTTCTTCTCCTCCCCCACGTTTGGTGTGGATTTTTTTGGATTTGGTGGTTTGTTTTTTTTCATTACTCACTTTCATCTGAATGCATCACCATTATAGCTTCGGTTTGTTCCTTCATATCAGGCAGGGTAAAATCTGAGACGTTCAAAGTACCGTTGAATTTATTTCATGGTCTGATGTAAAATCCTTAATAGTTCCAAGAGCATCTAGTACTTATTTCCTGCCTTGTCCAAGAATAAAAGCCATATCCGTCTGTTGTTTCTGATTAGGATATCTTAATCTACCTTGTTCTTCTGTATTTTCATCAGAAAATGTTGTTTAGTTATGCCTTAACTTCCTCTGGAGCTACAGGTTGAGTAGATGCACTCAGCGTGCCAGGCCCTTTCTTAATCTGACCATCTCTCAAATGAGCTGAGCCATCGCCTCTAGATGAACTCCAAAACATTTCTCTCATTAGTATCACTAGTTCAAATTAGCATTGCTTTTGTTTTCATTATCTGTCTCCAGTCATTCAAATGTAATCCTGACATTCCAGCTTTGAATGGTGCTTGTAGTTTTGTTTCTTGTTCCCATCAAGGTTAGTATTTTAACCTCACTTTTGCGCTGGTACCTCTTCAGACGAGGTTCAAACCTTCACAAGGAGGAGAATTTGGTTTTGTACAGCGTTCTTTTGCTGTTTCCCTTATAGGCATGCTCTTATCCCTGAGGAATCACCCTCACCCTCCCCTCTTCTGTCACTTTTTAAAATGGAACTTCATTTGATTTTTGCCCCTGGGTTTTCTTGTGGAACTGGGGCACGGGGACTCATCGGATTTTTGTTTCCTTTTTTGAGAAACTTGGTTGATTTTCTTCTATTCGAGTGTAAACATAACACATGCCTGCAAAGCATAAGATCTGCAGACTTAGGTGCAACTGCCAAACTTTTATTTATTTGACTTTGACAACAGCGCTGCAAAGATGAAAGAAAACGTAGAGCCTCGTTCACTTCCTTGCCGCCCTTCCTGGTGGTGGTTGGCTTCCTTCTCTGGCTAGCCCTGACTAATGACTGTTGGGCCAGGCCGTGGTATTGTTGGAGCTGTGAGAAGGCGGTCATCCATCCCTCCGCTACTTTCTGTTGGGTTGTGCAGCGGAAGTGCTGTTGTGCAGATTGCTGCTGCTAGGTAAGATTGGCAGAAACGTGGGTGCATGTAGGTGAGGACCACAATTATAGTTTGTGAATCACTGGGAAATACATCAGTGTTTAGAGTTGGAAAGCAGCTTTCTCATCTGCTTAAGTTTATTTTCAATACTTTTGATTGTAACTGAATAAAATCAATTCATCTGAATCGTCACATATACGAAGGGATGCGACTCTCACAAACAAGTGAATATTTGAGGTTCCCATACAGACTAAAGGATTCAATTCACCTCATGTTTTCACAAATCTCTGTAAAGAGACTTCATAACTAGCTGCTGAACATTTCAAAAGAAGCCCCATTAGTATATGTAAAAAAATGACATGTTTGTGAAAATAAACCAAGTTTATAACAAGCTATGATACCAAATCTTATCTATTTAAATTAAGACAATTTTTATTTTGAATAATATGATCACCTGCTTTTTTCTGTAGACTGTTTTTTTTTTGTCATTGGTAACCTTTTTGTCCAGATTCAGAGCATCACTGATGAGTCTCGAGGCTCAATCAGAAGAAAAAGCCCCTCCAGTCCACAGTCCATTGGCCAAGATGCGCAGGCACTGCTGACTGATTATCGAGAGGAGGAGGTAGTTAGACATAGTACTGGCTAGATATATTTTTCTCATTGCAACACTTTTTAAGTGCCACTATTGCAAATTGAACTACAAATGAACAACTTGATCATTCATTGTTATGGAACAGTTCTTCATAAATTTTAATTTTACTATTTTTCTAAGTTCATTATCTTACCCTATATTTCTTTTCTCTAGATGATGCTTCTGCAACATGAACTACATCCTATTTTTCTCACACTTATTTTCCATAAAAGAAACACTTATGTTTCTGAGAGTGCCTGTTTTTCTTAAAAGCCAGAAGCAAAGCTACTTCTCTGCCTTCTATCTCTTAAAACATCTTAATAGTGGGTGTTTCATTAATAAGCATATTCCATGCTTTCACAAAGCATTGCCTTCCTTTATAGTTCCTATATTGAAGTACTGAAGTGTCTCAGAGACCATATAGATATACTAGGGTTTTTTTAAGGAGATTCTATGCTTATTGACAAGCCATTATTAACCCATAAATGTCACTACTACTTTCTGAATGGTGAGTTTGAAAGGAAATGGATGGATGTAATCAATGGTTTTAGTGTGCACTTGAAGTGTTGCTCATATCTAAAGATGTGTAGCGTAGTTGGTAGAAATGCTGTATACCTTTGTGTTTCCCTTTCTTCATGAAGTATGAGAAGACCATGTTGTATTTCATGTAATTAATTTGGTATCAAAATAGCACTAACAAAAATGTGCTTTTGTTGTCTTTGCATTTTTATAAACGTGTACTATAGGTCTAGAATTTCTCTTGGCCTCACTGTCTTTCTAAAAATGGTGAACTTTCTTCCATTAAAGCATAGTTGTACTGAACTCATCCTATTATTGTTAATTTGAAATTTCAGTCCATTGGGTACTGCTGTACGGCATGTATAGTATCTGCATGTATTTGTTAGCTTTTTTCCATTCTCATGATAGAACTGTATTCACAGTAACTTCTGATTTGTAGTCTTGACTCATGATTTAATCTTCTGGGGAGATATGAAGACCATCAAACAAATAGATATTTATGTGAACCTCAGAATTGAACTCTAGGATTTGGGAATCCTCAAGGATAGAGATTAGGGAAATAATTTAGGAAAAATACAGAAGCTCTTAGGCATTTAAAAACAGCTGCAATTACAGTTTGTGAACCACTAGGGGAATCGCTGTAAAGAGATAGAAAGTAGTTTTCTCATATGCTTTGATTTTATTCATGCTTTTGACTGTGACCTGAATGAAATTGATTCTTCTGAATCATCACATGTGGAGGGACATGACCATCACTAACGTGAATAACTGAGGCTCCCAAATGGAACAGGAGCTTCAACTCATGATTTAACAAGTCTCTGAAGTAACTTCGTAACTGTTAAAGATCTTAAAAAAACAAACAACCCCAAACAAAAAAACCCCCCAGCCAACCAGCAAACAAAAAAACCCAAAAACCCCACACACACCAAAAAAACCCCCAACCCCCCCAAAACAGACATTCATTCATGATTTAACAAGTCTCTGAAGAAACTTCGTAACTGCTAAAGATCTTAAACAAACAACAAACAAAAAAACCCCCCAGCCAACCAGCAAAACCCAAAAACCCCACACACACCAAAAAAACCCCAACCCCCCCCAAACAAAAAACCCCAACAAAAACAAAAAACAAAAAAACCCAAAAACCCCACACACACCAAAAAAACCCCCAACCCCCCCCAAAACAGAACACCCCAAACCACAAACAATCCTCCCCCCATACCAATTCACTTATGATTTTAAGAGTCTAAGGTACTGTATTTGTGTTGCTTTTGATGGAAATACAGAAGCCTATGGACAGAGTATTATGAGGGGAAGTAAGTAAGTAAATAACATGTGTTAAATATTTCTTCCTTCTTTCCTCAAGAGCAGCAAGGGGAATGGGAAATGGAGAAGACAGAAGTGCGTATGCACGTGGGAACAACAATATTGTGTTCTTAGAGTTGTGATTTGAGTTTCTGCTACTATAAGGGAAGAAAAGGCCCCTTCATGGTTAAACTGACTGGCTTTTGTTATGTAATATGCACTTGCATTCATAAATCTAATGGAACGTAGCTAGCCTCCAATTCAGCCAGTCCAATGTTGTGTTACTGGCATTGTGAGAGTCATGTTGGTAGTTCAGCTAAAGGCATGTGAAATGGACAGTGTGTACGATAGTATCTGAGAAAATAACAATATAACTGATGAAGAATGAGAGCACTGGCTTTCAAGTCTTTCACTGGCAAAACCCCCTGGTGTTAATAAAGTACCCTCAGGTTGGATTCAACCTCACTTTAGTTCATGACAAAGATAATGTCCCAGCCCAGATGTAATCCTGCAAATACGAACAAATAACTACATTTCTAAAAGCAGTTTCATTTCAAGCAGTTTCATTTCATGCTGAAGTCAAAACAGTCTGGTATTTGTTCACAAAGTAAGGTACATTTTTCTGTATCTTCTTTTGTTCCACTGCTGTGAAATTCCTTTTCAAAATTCTAATAGCGTGTAATCTACAAATGCTCTTTTTGGCTGAATCTTGGGGTGATTTTTTTTGTTTTGTGGCTAGGCTCAGCTGATCCATGACAGAAACACTGCCTCGCACTCAGCTCCAGCGGTCAAAGCAAGTGTGGCTGCTGCTGTGCCGGAAAAAGTGCAAATGACCTGGACTAAAGAAAAGTTTGTAGCTGAAAAGCATAAACCCAAAGATTCAAATGTGTCTGGCTTTAAAGATATTTTCAACATGAAGCCGTGAGTATACATTTGGCGTTTGGAGTTTTGTATTTGATTGCATGTATTTTAATGTGTGGTTTTTGTGGTGGTGGTGGTGGTCTAGGTTTTGGGTTTTTTTAGGAGATTCAGGTTTATTTAAAGTTGAGTACAAACATGATTTTTTCCATGCACTTCACTTCAACGCCATCCTTATGAAACCTAGCATTGACTTGAGTGGAACAGCAATGACTGTACAGAGTCATTCACAAGAATGTTGTGAATGAAGCTTAAATATGACAGATGTCAAGCTGTAAACGCAACTTCTGGATTGTACCAGAAACCATATATGTTAAAATGCTTAATGATAACTTCTGTTTTTTCTCTCTTCCTGTGGGTAACAAATTACTGTGTATCATTTCCCCATCTCATTTATTGTGTTCTGCTGGGGTGGAGGGTCTACCAAAGAAGCAGATAGACTCTTCCAAGATATTTAGCTTATGTTGTGGGTTTTGGGTGGAGTTTTTTTGGGTGTGTTGGTTTGTTTGTTTTTCTTTTTCTTTTTTTTTCTTTTGAAATGGACATTCGACCCTCATCCTGTAAATTAAAGCAATATAAAATTTGTGCTTATATATATGTCTTGTTATATTAAGTATTTCCTGTTGAAGTATTCCTTAATGTCTTTTTCTTAAATAGAAGTCACTTAATAGATAAGAGCTACTGCCTGTGTCAAGCCTGATGTAGTAGACACAAAACCAATGACAAAGACATCAGCTTGTTTACTTCCTCGTGTTGTGATTCAAGCACAAACATGCATCTTTTCTGAGTTCTGGAAGAATGCAGTTATAAGCATGGCCTAGACTATTTTCTGCACGTGCGTGAAGCACGATGTTAAGGGAAATTTTAATATCTAAAGGAAACCTATCTTAAATCTAGGACTTGTAGACAGTAGAGTTAGAAGGTACACTTAGAATCAGCACCTTAAAATCCTAAGTTGTTTTGTGGATTTGCTCTGAGCTCTTTAGAAACAGTTTGCCTTCTGCAAGTTCCAAACATCTTGCTCTCACTCTAAAGCACTGTTTTTGTTCTGGGCTGCATTATACTCTAATTCTTAGAGGGTTTTTTTGTGAATATCTTGGAAATATTTCCTATTACTTCTTCAGAACTGTGCAAGACGCAGACTTCTGATATTATTATTTTAAAACTACTGTATGTGGTTGGGGGTGGAAATTACAGTTCAAACTTGGTGTGCCTGTACTATATATTAATATTGTTAAATTAAAAATGTACCTGATGGCATAAATATTTTTTTCCTGTGCATTGCTTCCCTTCCATGTAGAGAATGGGGAAATCTGTAAGTCTGAATTTTGTTTCGCTTGCAATGTAGGCTGTGTTCCCTGGTTCTTGTGGTCTTGTACATTGTGTGCATGTTTCCTAAATCATGATTTGCGTTGTGTGTATTCTTTTTTACCTTGTTTTATATACTGTGATTTAGCATTTATCAATGAAAAGTATTCTTCTTTGTGACTTGTTAATGTTTTCTTCTAAATATTATCGACTTTCCATTCAAGGTAAGTCACAGAACATGTATTTTAGTTTCTGTAAGAACGTAAAACTTGACAGTACTCTTCTGCACCAGTGTAATATTTAGTTTTCTAATTAATTACATTTAAAAGTGAATATATTTTTGTTCTAGAAAAATAGCCCCTGTTGTGATATAACTACTTGGACAATAAGGATGAATTTGTTCTCAAAGGGAACTTTCACATTTCATCAAATGCCAGTTCTTGCCTCCCTTCTACCAACTCATGCATGTGTACAAATACCATAAATTCAGATATGCATTGGGTATGACAGCATACAAAAATGGGACACTACATCTCTACTTGTTCTTGGGTGGAACCAACTTGTGACTGCTGTGCTTTTTTTTTTTTCAGAGCCCACTGTTGTCTTCACTTTGTCTGTTTAACAAATTGAGCTTCTTATGAAAACTTAGAAAGCTTACTTTGTGTACCATGTACAATTTCAGTTCTACTAGTGCTTGAGGGCTAAATGGAGTTAGTCAGCCTGCATTCACATTGTACACAATTTACCTTTAGCCTTTATTTCAGTGCTGAATTCTTGCCCACTCCATCACAAATTTACACCCTCCATATTTGCCCTGCATTTTATCTTTAGTTTAACAATGTTTCTACTTCAGTATTTATACACCTCTTCAGCTATATACTCTTGCCTCTCCTTCATAGTTGTTCTTTGGTCTTCTCAAGCTGCTGTTCTGCTTCTGAAAAACAGAGCTTCAAGTATTCTTTTGTTCCATGTATGGTTTTTGTAGAGTTGGTTCTTAGGACAGATGGCTGCTGTGACAGAAAATCCCCCAGGAGGGACTGAAACTCAGTTTTGGAAATGTCATTGTCTTGGGGGGGGAAATGCGGAGGGGAAAGAAAGAAAGAAGGAAAAAAAAAAAATTCCCCCACATTGTCTTTCCCACTCAGAAAAAAAAAAAAAAAAAAAAAGAAAAGGGACTTAGTAGAACACAAGTACATATGCTCCCAGCATTCTCCATCTGTCTTGGTCCCTTATGTTTGAATGAACCTGTATCTGGCTGCTGTTCTCAACTCCACACATATTTTATATAATCTGAGGGTAGTCTCCTGTTGCTAGAAGATTCTAGGATTAAGTATTGGTGTAGTCCCCTGAAATGACCGCTGGTAGTAGAAAAAGTTGTGCGTTTCCTTTCGTAAATTTCAGCCTCCTAAACGTTTTTCTTTTGGGAAAAGAGCTCTCATTAATTTCTATTGTTTACTTGAGCTGAAACAGTGCTGGGGTTTGTGCTGTAATTTTGATTGCTGTTAGTGGAATTCAAAAGACGCCAGACTTTATCAGGCGCTTCAGAGGATGTCTTATGTCCTGCTGCTACTAACCTGCCAGTCCTATCTCTGCCATAGGACAGTATGTGAGCCCAGCTGAGCAGGGTACAGTTGTGCTTTTACTGTGAGACCACTAGTTACAGTGCTAAGAAAATTGCACAGGATATAAGTGTCTTATATCAGCATACCAGTATCTCTGTTCTTGAGATGTGCTGTCACCCCGTGTTCTGAGGTTCCCTTTGAAATGACTCACTTCACTTGTAAAGAATCTACTTTTGGGCAGTGGATCTTTTAGATAAATGGGCTTAGGTAGAGTCTGGCTATTTCTGTTGCACTCTATCATATGACTCATTTCCAGTCTTGGCTAGTTTTACACAGGTGGCAGTTTCTCAGGAACTATAAAGAAACTGTTCTTTTGCTTTGTTCTGAAGAGCAACTAAATCATCGAAGGCAGATCCTAAAGTAAGGAAATCTCTGAAGTCCTAGCAGTTTCTTCCTCTTGCGCACAAATTTTACAACGATTATATTTGTGGACACAACAAGCAAAGCATTAGTTAATATTGATAATGTAAGGGGAGAGGATCAATTTCAGTTCATTGCTTACTGCCTTACTCTCATAACATGAGAAACTACTATTTTTTTTCATAAAGTCTATGCTGTTTCTGAATTTTCTTCACCAGGCTTATAGTAATCTTGTAATGTTTCCAAAGGAGCATGAGGGAAATCTTGTACTGTACAACATAAATGCGGTAATCTTTCCATTGCATTCCTGTAATTCCTTTGTTTGGAATTTCTTGTACAAATCCAGTTACTCTTTAAATAATTCAATAAACTGGATTCTCAGTGTTTTTGAACAAACTTAATTTCTATTGAATTCTTAATTTAAATTAATTTCTATTGAAGTTGAATTTCTATTGAAATTAAGTTTTTGCTTCCACTCTGTAAAAGATAACTGACAACTGGAAGATTTGTGCATTTTGTAATTCGGCTTAGAGCTGCTTGAATTTCAGAGTTAAATGTTCTTTTCAAAGGAAAAAAATCTTTTAAACCTAGGTATTGCATTTTCTCAAATTTATTTTGAATGTGTGCAAATACTGGTGTCCATGAAAATAGCTTATTCTATGTGCATATAGATTAAATTTATAGAATCAAATGCATAATGTATAATTCAAATAAGTATTGTGACATACTTAAAAATGTTTGTTTGCATGCTAGGAATCAGTCAAATGTGAGAAGAATGCACACTGCTGTGAAGCTCAATGGAGTAGTGCTTAATAAATCACAGCATGCTCAGCTAGTTCTCCTGAATATGCCTGGACCTCCTAAAAACCGAAAAGGGGATGAAAACTGTATCCTCTACTATATTGCTTCCATATTTCTTGAAATCGGAGTTTGATTTTTGTGATTGTGCCATTGTCTACTTGTCAGGATAACCATTAGTAACCATGGTAAGAATAAGTTTTGTCTTTTAGAAAACAACTTTTGATTTCACAGAGTTTTAAGAAATGTTGATAGTGGTGAGGTTTGTTTTTTTTTATTGAATTGATGTAAAGCATTCCTCAATTTTGAACTTATTTTATAATCTCTATTTTTATCTTTTCTGTAGTTGAGTAGGGCAGAACAAGAAATCTCCCCCACCACCACCAAATTAGGCCTTGCTTCCACTTGAGCAAGCAGGTGGATTACATCATGTGACAGTAAAGGATGACACAGGAAAACTCCTTGATGAAACTGTTGAACTTTGATTTTTTGCATTATATGTCAGACTTTTTGAGAGATTAGTGGCTGTTTTTCTTTTCTGAATAAATTCCTTGACTTAATGATATTTCAGACATGGAGTTTTTGGAAGTTCTGACAGAAGGTCTGGATAGAGTTCTCCTGGTCCGAGGCAGTGGACGTGAAGTGATCACCATTTATTCTTAACCTGTTTGCACATTTTGTTCAAACCTGCCCCCCCCTCCCCGCCCCAAATAAGAAAACAAAGTTGTTTGCCATAATTTGCGCAGCTTCATTAAGAGTTCTAGTACATTGAAAATTACCTGCAAGCTGAATCTTCTGATCATGTGTTCTGTTTTTTTCTATTAAAAAGTTATATTTAAATTATATTTTAAGAAGATAGGTTTATGTAGAAAATGTTTCTGTAGTGAATTAATAAATGGCGGATGGGTTAGGATATTTATATGTAGCGTATTCTGACACTTGTTAAATTGTGGTGAAACACAAGAAAAGAGATGGTAAGGCAATGGTGTTTTTAAACGTATAGAAATGTAAGCAACTTTTGATGATTTTAATCTTTGTTCTGCATCTAAATAAAAAGGGAAAGGTTTTAGAAAAAGTTGGCTTTCTCCCTTACCAAAATGCTGCTATGTTGCTTCTGTTGGGATTAGTCCTGGTTCAGGAAAATTCATTCAGAAGTGTATACAACCACTCCAATTTGTCTATTATGTGCATAAAGTGTTTCCCTGAAGTTCCATGATTTGCCACACTTGTTTTAAATAGAGAATGTTATTTAAAATACTTAGTCAGGTAGCTGAAGGCTCCAGGTGACAGTAAGAGTAAACTGACAAGTTATGTGGTTTTTTTTCATGAGCTACTAGCAGTTATAGTATATTGCACATTTATACCAGTGAAACCTAAGAGCATCCAACTCATAGGAAGGCTATGATGCAGTAACGCCACCTGGTTGCAAATATAACTGTAACAATTGATAAACCGCAGTGAGTTGGTTAATGAAGTGCAGTCTCTTGTTTTCAAATATGTATATTTTGAAAATGTTGTACGTATGTGCTGCTGTTTAAAATAAAATCTGCTTTTCTGAACTGAACGAGCTCTTAAGTGTGTTTCGTTTGAAATTGTTGAACAACTTAGTTTAGGTGCTCAATAGAAACTTTTTGCTTCTGTCAGAATTCTGCCCCTTTTCAGACACTCTGTGTTTAGTTTTGTAAATGTTGTTTAAGACCTGAAGTGTTTGTTGGGTATCTGTAGATTGTTCTACTCTAAAAAGAATGGTTTTATTTAAACATACATAAACTATTCTTTTATAATACAATCAACATCTGTTTCTCAGCCTGGGGACAGCAGTGATGCAGGGCCCAAATACCTGACTAAGCTCAAGGCCAGTGCTTTTATCATAGCTCTCTCAGGCAAAGCAAAACAAAGTTATAAACAGCGAAAGCTGAAAGCAGCCATTACCAGTCCCTGTAGTTTGATGTACAGCAGCAGAGGGAACACAGAAAGATAATCAGATGACCCAGTGAACTTCAGCTGGCTCTTAAACACTGCTGGGGCACACCGAAAGGCACTTGGAAAGGCATGCTGCACACCAAAAGGCACCTGTAGACCACTGGGTGTGGGTGTAGGTTTAGGCTTTGGATTAGGATTAGGTTTATGTATAGGCACTCAGAGCTACACTGGGGGCACAGCAAAGGCACTCCAAGGGCCCTCAGGTACAATGAAAGACACATGGAGGCCCTGTGAACTGACCAGAAGGCATCTGAAGGTGCTAGATTTGCACAGTATATCAAGAGCATGAAAAGGCATTCTCAGAACACTGGGGAGAAGAGAAATGTAATCAGATGCCCTGGTGCTCTCCAAATGGCTCTTGGCTTCTCCTGGGACATACTAAAAGGCACTCAGAGAGCCATGATGCAGGACCATCAGCTGGCATTCACAGACAACTGTGGATGGCTTATGGTAAGAGTAATGGTAAAGACTCAGTTTAAGGATAGGCACTCTTCTGATTGAGCCTCGAGACTCATCAGTGATGCTCTGAATCTGGACAAAAAGGTTACCAATGACAAAAAAAAA